ATGAATAGCGGAATCGTTTTATGTATATCCTACTATTTGTTTGTATGTTCGTGTTTTGGAATTTTGATTTATTGAAGAAAACAAATATTGTCCTAAAAATCAGGTCAAAAAGCATTCCTTTTCCATCCGCCAAAAACCATAGAATTTATTCCTTCCACATAATCCATTCAAAATGCTTTCGACCTCTCACGCATGACATACTATATACAATGAATATTTGACGTAAATAGATTGATTCCTCTATGTCACCATGTCTGTCCATTCCAATTTGTTTGTTGATATCATGGGTAACAAACCTATTTATCACTTTGATTGAATTGTCTTTAAAACTTTAATAAAACAAATGCTTGCGTGTATCTTAATCACCGAAATCTATTGATGAAAATGATACAATAATGCGAACTATTAATGTAGATAATGATTAAATTCGATTCGTTTTGACCACTCCCTACATAAAATAACAGTTTTCCATTTTGTATTATCGACTTGCGTCTGTGTCTGTTCAAGCGCTAATCATGGAAAGCTCGAAAGTACATTTCCGACATTCATAATTTTTGTTGTTCGATGTGAAGAAGCCTGCTGCTGGAACTAATCAAACGCTTTTAGAAGCTTGTGGTCTGCTGGCCTGTAGGACTAAAAAAATTCGAAGACAATCAATTGTATGACTTATTGAATGAAAGCCCAGCTCAAGGCAATTAATGAATCTACTGTTTCTAGGCGTTTGCATGCGATGAGAAAGATCCGAAAGGAGGGTAAATGACTACCATTCGAATCCATTTTGAATCATTTCAACATCGTGGTTCTATGCGTTGCCAGGAAAAAAATAACAGTTTTCTGGGTCCTATTGTAATTGACAATGAAAAGTGGATCTAGTCCGACAAGCGTAAACGCAAAAAGTCATGGCTTAGTCCAGGAAAGCTATCCACTTCGATACCAAAGCTGAATCTTAATGGCCGTAAAGATTTGTGGCACATATGATGGGATCAGAGAAATGTATTGCGAGCTACTAAAACCGAATGAAACTGTTGCCGCAGACATCGACCGACTTCGACCGGCCAATGTGTTATTTTAAAGAAACAGTAATAGCGGTTAACAGACGCAAAGCCATCCTCTTGGATGACAACGCTCGGCCACACGTTGCCTATGTTGTCAAGAATACATTATTGCCGCTCGAATGGGAAGTTCTACCGCACCCAGCATACTCACCAGACATAACGCCTTCTGATTACCGTTTGTTCAGATCGATACAGCGTAACTTGGCTGGTACAAGACTTGCGCAAATTTGCACAAATGAGAAAATGGATCGATGCAATGCCCACATTTTCGCTCTGGTCTTATCCGTTCGAATATTGCAGTTCCACTCTCTTAACTCGACTGATTTTGCTTTCCGCAAATAATCTGCTTATACAGGTTTTTAGAAGCAGTTACCATGTTACCTAAATGCATCGCGACACTTTTTGTGTTAATCCCTTTTTCCGCTAAATTTCTGCTAATTGTTGTTAACCATTTCGCTAGTCGCAGTCAGGTACGGCGTTCTAATTGTGTCTTTGGTTTATCTTTTCTTGAAATTTCTTGTGAATTTCGCAACAATATCTTATCTATAGCGAAATATACGATAACGGGATCGCTTATTCATACATAGCATTAGTTAGCTGGATTCGTTTACTTAAGCGAGATTTCCAAAATGCGCCTATTATTAGTCAACATCTCATCTCCTCATCGGCGATGGGCTTAAAGTCAACTTCCTTACATAATGTGCGGATACGTTATACAACCAAAGTTCACTTGTTACTCGTTTACTCTAATCCCCTAATTAGGCGGGATTACAGAGTGAATTGCAAGTCAGCATAACGGGAATGTATATATTCTTATATAAAAGTATAGCTGTGCTACAAACAGTTTATGCCCGAAAAAGATCTGATCTCGTTGTCGAAAACGATCCAATCTGTATACCCATAACCACTTGTCTTAAGAATATAAGTCTGTCCATCTGTCTTTGTTCCATTTTCAAGATATTTTAATCAAATTTTATACATTGATCTACGTAAATCGGCCCAAGGACAAAGACTACTCTTCCTCTTACGACCTTTTACGAAAAAATCATCATTTGAGAAGAATTTTACGATTTTGTTAAACAGTAACGTATAGCCGCCAACAATGAAACAAACTATCTTAAAGTAAAATTATTATCCATGATAACTCTTCGTTCACAATATAACGGCAAAGGTTCGAACGACGACGATATGCTTTTAAGTTAGGTAACCGCCCAGCGAAAAGGAGCAACAGAAGGCGTGCAAGTGCAAGAGCAGTCTTGTGGACTTATATCTATTAGAAGCAATTTACTTAGTAAATGGTCGAGGCCGATATTTATGTAGAAGAAGACCTCCGGGAGATCGACAGCAATATTGAATCAGGCCAAAGATGTCATATTGCCATTATTTTCAGGTTATACCAGTGTACCACCATATATATATATATATATCTTGGAAAACTCATCCTGTGAGAAATGTTTAATATGCATTACCAAAAGAGCCTTTACTTTAGGCAGTCGGTCCGAAGCGTAATTGTCAAAGTTTTACCATCACAGTTATTCCGTGTACTGTCCTATTATACCTATCACCCAGGAATAGTTGGTATATTCACTTTGACAAAACGTTCGCAACACACCGAAGGAAACTTCAGAGACTCGACAAAAATTCACATATTCTTAACTAGCATCAAATTCGGCATCCGTTTAGACATGTCCGTCTGTCTGTCTATGCAATATCTATGATAAACACCCGCCTGGACGCAATAAACAAGCTAACGGCTCGCAAATTTGGCAAAAATAATGTAAATTCTTCCACACCACTGGTCGTTGCTGAGCTACATCGGTAAAAGACATGCGCCCAGTCATAACGCAATATAAACAAAAAATACCCCTGCTTTTTAGGTTTTTCCCGATTACTCGTAAATTTACGTTAGGCACACGATAAAAATTTCCGCATATGTTCCACAAAAATCGATAAAATGAACCACACCCGCTCAATATTATAGAGCTTGAAAGTGTAGTTTTCGCATTTTTTTTTACTTTTCTACTCAATCTCTTTTAAGATTAAGATAGTGACGAGAAAATGTACTTACTTACTACCCCTTACATGCCGCAGCAGCTAAAAAGACTTGAGAGCGAACTACTTTTTATTATACCAATCGAGTCGCATTCGTTTCCTGAAACGATCTAGACTTGTCTATGCGTTCGTTCGTCTGTCCGCCTTTTTTTCTTCTGCTGCACCTATAAGTTACAACTTTTCAAATATTGTGCAAAAATTTGGTACACTGTCGTGTGTTTTACCCCAAGGATAAACGCAATAGAAAATGCTACGGATCGGATCATTTTTTCGACCACTTCCCATATAATATCGTACTTGGAAAACTTATTATATGAGTAACTATATTAAGTCAAATGGTGTAGGGTATTTAACGATTGGCCGTCTCCCACCATAGTATTTTTTCTTGTCTCTAAAATCAACTTTTTATTATATGATTTAATAAAAATTCTCAAAATAAATAATAATAACACTATGTCTATTAATATGTCGAACGATAATTGCCCGCAATCTACCCTGACTTAATACTTGACTTGATAAAGAAGAAAGGTATTATTTAAAAAGTATTCAAAATTAATTGTAAGATGTATGAGAAGTAATTTTCTAATTTTTGCAATTGATGAAAACTAAAATGTGTAAAATGTTCTCGACTTACTATATGTGGTGAACCGGTCTTGACTAATTCACCCGGATGTTCGGCCAATAAAACATCTACAGTTCTTTCGATAAGATTTTCCGGCGTTAAATAAGGACTTGTATCCACTGATTTTTTATTGTTAGTACCATTTTGATTATTATTATTATTGTTATTATTATTATTATTATTATTATTATTATTATTATTTATTGAATTTGTGTTATTATTATTATTTTCACTACTTCGTTGATGTTTCTTATTTGAATTTGTTATTGTTTTTGTTGTAGAGTTCACTTCACTGATTATGTGCATTGTTTTCTCTTCCTTGATAAACTTGGAATTAAACACGCGATCAATTACATACAAATACACATAACAATACCGAAGCTTTGCAAAAAAAAATGCAATTTAACAAATTTATTAATCACTCATAAAAATAGTATAGTAGTATATATATATATATATATATATATATACATAAATATAAATAAATATAAATGTATGTATATATATATATATAAGTATATACATTCGAGATATGCGTTCTTTTAAATACTTTTCCGTTTCCTTGTATCCGATTTCGCATTAAAATGACTTTGAGGTGCTTGCGAAAAGAAAAACCTGTTGATTTATAAAGACGACAATGCAAATATATATAAATCTATAATATACATAATGCATTTAAGATTATGAAGGTAGGCGGCAGTCCATTCGTGATTCTCCCTTAAACTACTCAACACAAGTATCTCAAGAAGTATGTTTCTATCGATTTCATATTAGCCTTTGCCTCGATTAAAAATCGCTTCTATTTGTTCAAGTATTTCTTAATTTTCAAGTCTACCCAGTTCTAAGTTATTGCATAATATAGTCCTCTTTTCAAAAAAAAAACTCCAAACTGCAAATATTCAAACAGATATCCTTTTAACACTTCTATCGGATGGAGGGAAGAGTCGAATTTTTAATCGATGGAAAATCTGAAATGGTAACACTGTATAAATAAATACACTCTGATCCATTCATTCTAAATATATATATATGCGATTAATTATAGTTAGGACTATAATCATGGGAATCAAATCAAAACATATGCATATATATGTTTGTATAATTATTTTTGGTTAATTAAGCACTAACCAATATTCGTATTATGTTGCATATATATACACTTGCATGTTATACACTAGTTGTCGAGATGATGATGATGATGATGATGATACCGATCGGTATCCAAGAATTATTCTAAACCAAATGCAACAATATAATCGTTGTGTGTATTT